TTTTCAAAGATGACAGAGAAATTGCTAATCAGGATTAGAAAAAATTGATTTCTTTAAAGAAATAATTGTTGAAAATAATTCAGCGTACCTGATTAAGAAACTTGAATTCCTTAAGAATCAAATAGAATATTCATGGTATATGCTTCTCAACCGATGTTTTACATATCTTTTTACATGTCGTCTTGACAAAATTTTCGATATTTCATTTTCATTGAAAAATAGTTTTGATAAACTGTTATAAAATCAATGTTTAAGTACTTTACCCCAATAAAAATTCCATCGCAAAATAACAAGACTTTGATTTGTATTATTTTTCTGAATGTTTCCATTAATTCTTAGTTCAGTAAACTCTTTAAAGGAGAATATTAGGAAATCGTTTGCTCTAGGGGTCACGTAATAAAGCTTACTGAGACGTGTAGATTTCGCCGTAAGAATATCTGGGTGTAGCCTTAACATTACCCCTGCATAAAATTTTATCCTCAATTGAAGCCTCACCCGTTACCCCAGGGTAATGTTTTGAACAAATTTTTTTTCTGCACTACCTAAGGATGCTTGCATTTATATATCACTCAACAAGTCCCAGATGCTCTTCAGGAGGAGATTTTTTTTAATTCATATTTTTTCCTGTATATTTCAATTTAAAACTTTGATCTCTTACTTGTACTGTATCTCCACATTATTCCCGGGTTGCTATGATTTTTAACAGTTTAGAATCTTCTCTGTCAGATTTTTTTCACAAACATCTTTTCTGACCCAGTTGTTTTTATTATATGATTCTTTTATGACCCTACCCAATTTTTGTCTACCCCTGATTATCTCCCAATGGAAGGAATCGCGGCCCTTCATTTTATTAATTTTGATCTCCCTTTATATAGTGCCACTTTTTGCTGGAATCGGCCGAGAGATTGTTCTAAATTAAAGAAGAAGTGAAAAAATATTAAGTTCACATACCGACAAACAAATAGGCACACAAACAAACGTGCGCCACACGGAGCCGGTGATCAGACAAGCTCACTTGAGCTTACAGATAGAGGTGAACGAAAAAGTTTAAAATGCTTTTTGTGAATTTGTATATGTAGAAACCTCATTATTGATTCCCCTTTAAGGACGTGTTAAAAGAAATTTCATAATACATAAAGAGTTGTGACTGCAATCTTTTCTATTTTATTTATTTATTTATTTATTTTATTTTATTTATTTTTTAAACTTTTTTCAGATCATGACCTCTTCAACAATTGGCAAAAAGGACAAACACACATGTAGATACATACGTTGTATTTTTATGTAATTATTGCTGAATTTTTCGTTAATGTGTTTAATTTATCCAAAAAGTATTGCTAGGAAGTGTAAAATTTACACATACTTTAGCTATAGTCCATTCCTCCAAAGTTTGATGGAAGAAATAGCAATGGTTTTCAAAAGGCATCCACCCATCTTCGCATCCTGTAAGACAAAATGATCATTAAAACTCTAAAGCATTTCGAATGATATTAATCTCACAGGAAATTAATATCGGCAGTTATTCACTTGCGAGAACATTGTTTCAAAAAATGTTAGAATTTCGAATGAAGCCTAACCTATAGCTTATCATTTTAATTAATGTTTATGTGTTAAATAAAAGTTGTTCATGTACATAAATAGAAACACTTGCATAAATAAATCGAATAAAAGTATGTACATACTTTAAATATAAGAAAACCTTCGACTAGTCATTTTCGTAACATTTTCAAGACAACAACAACAAAAAAAAAAAAAAAAACAAAAAACAAAAAACAAAAAAACAAACAAAACAAAACAATATACAGAAAAAAATTTCAAAACAAAAATAAGCAGAAGAAAGAAAACGAAGAAAAAAACGAATCAAATCCCGTACCCCTTGAACTTGAAACATTGAGACACACAGAAACAAAACAGAAAATATACAAAAAGATAAGAAAGCAAGCACGCAGACAAAATTATAAAAATCAGCTAAAAGATCATGATAATCATTATATGGCTAGGATATTTCAACATACTGCTTTGTTTTCTGAAATTTATCCATTGCATTTCTTCAGCATTGGGAATTTTAGCAACGTTGATATACATCATATAAGTTCGTAGAAGCTCACACCTCTGTAAGGACAAACTGAAAATAACTTCATTACACGCATTCTGTTTGCTGCATTGTATGGTGCACCACACCTTCGATACCTTGCTTGCTGTGTAAAGATACGCGTAAGTTTCAATGGGCTTGAAATTGTCAAATTTAGATTCCTTTGAATAACCATGTTCACGAAGTTGTGCCAAACAACTATAGCAAAACATACACAGCAATCCTATACATAGAACGCTCATCTGGGACATACTTTTGCTATTTAAATTTCATTTAGCTATAGCGTATTAAAACAACTTCGGAGATGAAATTTCCAATTTAGTTTGAGATTATCCAATGTTTCATTATTTGATTCTTTCTTCAAAGAAGCAATTGAACACATTATTTCGGAAACAGAAATACACTTGATTAACCTCTTTAAAGATTAAATACGGTCCGTATTAGCCTTAAAGTTAAAAAAGGAAATGAGATCTTTTTGAATGTGCAATCTTTCCAGAATCAAATACAGTATATTAAGTCTTTGGATAAGCTATGAAAGACTTATCAATGCTTCATCGATCAATTATAATTGGATTAAAATATGTAAATTACCGGTAAGTAAAGGTAACACCGGATGCCAAAAATATATACATTGATTTAAATGCAGTCGCCAATGTTATGAGATATTAGAAATATTTTATTTCCTGTACCAAATTATTACCTAATGTTGAGGCATTATACATGAAGTGCTTTTAAAATGTAAGGCAGGACCTACCTTTTTTAAATCCCTTATTAGTCTGCATTAAATGTACATTTTTGCTATTTGAATATTGCAAATATTCGTTGTAGAACAAATCATTCAACGGATGTCCTAAAAACCTCAGTCTCAAATACTGAATAAATGAATAAAGAAGACATGCAAAATGCTAAAAAAGTGTCTACTTTAACCCATCCTGCATGTTTTGAAAAGGTACTATTTTAAACGATTCAAAACCGTAGCTTTTAAATTGAAATTAAATTATGCTTTTTTGAATGTGTACTTTAAATATTACTAAAAACATAATGGATCCAAAGTCAAAATTCTACAAATTTGAATCCCTTTTATTGAAAAGCGATCAATCGATTAATAACATAACTATGGTAGAAATATTCTAAATGATTTTATGACTCATTAATTTTAGGATGTTTTGAAAACCCGTCACGGTAATAGAAAGAAAACAAGTCAATGTTGATGTATCAGGAAAGTGTTAATTTCTTCTTTTAAAATAAACATAGCTGATATGCTTCAAAAGTTTCCGAAGTGCTGAATGGTTCTTTCTCAGTTTTAACTATCAAGAAGTTGCAAGCATATTAGGAATACAATTAAAAATAATAAAGACTCCATGAAATAGAGATAACGACGCTATTCAAGCTTTAAGTTCATTAAACAATACAAATTCGGAGCAGAGAGCAAACGCAGACCTCTAAAAACATCATAGGTGGGATCACGTGCCATGGAGGAGTAAGGATCCCCTGCCGACTGTTCAAATCCACCGTACTCTTGTGCTCCTTGTCATAATCGGTAAAAACGGAAAAGTTCGTAGACAATTCAGTGTGTAAGTAATGGCCTAACAATTAGTATGAAAAAACGTCAGTCAGCTTTCCACTTAATGATTGATTGATTGATTGTATGTTTTTTTACGTCCCATTCGAGAATTTTTCACTCATATAGAGACGTCATAATATACCGGTGAAGGGCTTCAAATTTAGACCTTTACTCGGAACTTAGGGCCATTGAGCAGTGAGGGTTTTTTTTATCAGCCAACGCCTACCATGACACGGGGCCTCGATTTTTAAGGTCTCATCCGAAACACCCGCAACTTTCACTTCAAAGTGCCGAGCGCTTATCAAAAAGAAACGGTTGCTATCTATTTTTTAATCGACTTAGGTCAGTCGAGGCCGTGATTCGAACACACGACCTTCGATTACGGAGCGAGTGCTCTACCGACTGAGCTACCGTGATGGTTCATTCCATTTAATGATAGATAGCATTTGCTGACAAGGTCATTGTATCACCATAGAGCTTACTAAATGATGGCTTCAATGAGACTTTTGATATCCTTGCATCATCAACTTGTTTGTCAATAGCTTGTCTCGTTTTAGAAATTGTTTATACGTAGAGAATGCTCATGGGTATCGAATCAACTTGGAGACATAAACCCCATATGCGGGTTATAAGGGTATATTGCTATTATATAAGTAAGGGAAGTTGACAATAGAAAAAATGAAGTCATCATGTTCATCATAAAATATTGTTGTTAGGTTACCATTAACGCTTTTTTAATATCCAAAAATATGAAACGGATGTGCCAGACTCTGTGGCATCTTTTATTTCAAGTTCATTGGGATATATATGAATGACATATGAATGGAAGTAAATATGACATATGAATGGAAGTAAATATTGTTAATTGATAATACATCGTCGAAATTTTTAAATGTTGCTTTGAAGGACTCAGCAAGTGTTTTCTTCTTCTCATGTACAAGGTTTTGAGTAAATTCTGCTTCATATGAATATAAAAATAGGTCTGCTTATATTTTTGAATGAATATAGTAAAATTTTACGTATATGCAGTTTACATAGAAAGACCGCAAATAAATTTGAGGACAAGGACTAGAACCTTAATTTCAGTCAATTTCTAGCTAGCAACTAGTCCCGTATCTTAATTCACTTGATTAACAGGTGTGCTCAGACCTGTAAATTTGGAGCCTATTTTCTCCCCTTTAAGATCTTAGAAATTCTTAATTTAATTTGTGTTCAATAACAAAAAATTCAAGGATGTTTATGAATGAAAAGTATACTGGGATTGAAACTCTGAAAATATATTTTTTTTATTTTTATTAAATTTCTTTCAATATTTTTTTTGTACATGAACATACATGATTTTTATAGTGCAAATGTATCATTACAAATGTTTATCAAATCCTTCTTGGTTTTCTAAAGCCATTCTTATAAACAGGATTATGCTTTGAAAGAGAGCTATGGTCTTTTGTTTTGATTTGCTTGTTTGTTTGTGTGTGTGTGATTTTTTGCCGCCGTTATTGGTTTACAATGGAGCTTTCGAATTCCCTTCCCATGGACATTCTGGGTGATTTTGAAGCCTGAAAATATATTAAGATAATGTTGACATTCTAATGAAAGAAATTGATACTGTTGATATAAATGTTTCGCAATGAAAAAAGACATACTGCTGGAAAAAAATTATTTTAACTTTAAGTTATTCTTTAATATGTAAGTAAATATGACATACTTCGGAGAAAGTGTTGTTTTTCATGATTAAACAAGGACACTTACCCGGGTGTGAAATCAACAAGCTTTGGATACTGTCTAATGGCAGCTATTTTCTGCATATCCTCTTCACTCAAAGAGAAATTAAATACCTGCAATTAAGAAATAAGATAACATACACATACGAAGAATAGAATTTCGTAGAACGGTTGGGCTACATAAAAGTAGACGAGACCTTATTTATTATGGAAATATTACCAATGACATCACACAAAAGAGCACTTAGATAGTAGAATCTTATTTATTCTCACAGCACTTTCACAAACTACAAAGGATGTTAAAGATATTTATAAATTAAACTTAGATCTTTAACTTGGTTATGACGTAGCAATATTGGGATTTATAGATAACTTAAATACTGCAAGTATATTTGCATAAATCACGAGACAAGTAGAGATTCTTATCTCCCAAAAAGTAGTTTTTTTTTGCCAAATTACATTTGTCTGGTAAGAACTCAAAGAATAGCCCATCCTTGTAAAGAATGCATTTTCCATATTTTGAATAAATCGCTGATATTTTATTGTGCTCCTGAACTGTTCTAAGTTATGGCATGTCATTTGTTAATATTTTCCTCAAAAATTACTGTTAACATCGTGTGATTTTGTAATTACAGATATGTATTCATATGTTGTGCGTAAATCTTTTCCTGGAGAATAAACACAGTAGTTTGAAAATGTTTCCGTTTTGCATGTTTTTCTCAATTTAAATTTACAGGTGAAAAGATAGAATAGCTTATGCCACCACTTTTAAGGAGTTATTTTAGTAGTGGCTGGATAATCTTTATTTGAATATATACTCTGGTGTAAAGAAAATATCTCCAGTAACACTCAACTTACATCAAAATTACTTCTTATTCTCTCAGGATGTACGCTCTTTGGAATGACTACAATTTCTCTCTGCATAAGATTTCGAATTAAAATCTGAAATGAATTTATTTTACAAAAATATTTCTGATCAATCACATTACAAGTCTTTTTTATGGCAAACCTTAATTTTTTTTATATCCAACAATTCTCACCCAATCATTTGATGACTCTCTATGCATTAAAGATGTATTTTTATGTAGTTATAGAGATAAAATAAATGGAAATCTTAAGAGTATTATTCAATTTGTACTCAATTCAATTATCCTTGCCATTTAATTAGATAAATTAATGGAACATTTTAAAATGTGTTTTTACTATTCACGTTATTAATTGATATATGTTTATTAATACCTTGTTATCCTTGAACATTTCCTTGCATTTAAACGACTAGTACTATAAGTTATTTAAAAGAATATACCCAAAAGTTAATTTTTTTAATGATATATTTTTCTCAACGTCCAAAAAACTTTTAATTTTTGTTATTAGTGAACAGAGGATCCTTAGGCAAGCTCATATTAAACACTGATATTTGTTTTACCTTGAGAAAATTATGTTATATTAATGTGTACTAATTACGTAAATCTAGTTCATTTTCAAAATAGGATACCTGCAATATTTCTCCAGGAAAATATTCAAAGACATTGAATTATTAGTGTTTACCTATAGTCCTAAAATGTATATATATACAAATAATGTTTTAAGTTACTTTTGTATTTCTATGGCCTTGGGTAAGTAAATTACAATACAAGTATTGCTGGGTTAATTCTTATTACCTTGTGTTTTCATTTGTTACATACGTAAAACCCCTTTATTATTTGTCTTTCTAACTGTAAATATTTTTTTATGCGTAATTACGCGAAAATTTCAGTCTCGCGTATGTTATTATTGAAGATTATATAGAGCAATGACCGAAATTTGTGAAAATTTTGTATCTAAAATAAATACCAAATAACAATTAAGCGAAAATAAGATATCGCGAAAATTAAATGATCTACATCAAGTTAGACCATATGTTGAAATTCCACATGTTTTACTTTATAAACAGGCAGTGGCGTCTATGTCGGCATTCTTTTCGTAGCATATTGATAGCTGTGTTCTGTTTGGATAAGTTAGTTATAGGATCTTCGATATGCATTAGTTTTTATTTTGGGACCTATTCAGGATAGCTAAAGCCGTGATCGCATTGTTGGTTTGAGGAACACCACCTCATAATTTCCTCTTTACAGTGTTAGGAAAACCTCCTAGTTCTCTACTCAGTACCATTTACTCGTCTAATAAACCCACCTAGTTTAACAGCATCTAGGTCTTAATTAAGCGGCACGTTTTTCACCGGCCTTTGATAGTGTAAGGCATAAGCTACATGTAAGATGTATGCTTTATAGAGTTAACTTAAGTTTCCCCTTTCCAAGTCCAGTCTTGTCTGTGGAAATTTACATGTACATGTAGGTAACAGGTGTATATTCTGGAACCACTAATCACTATTTATTATATACCCTTCACATTTTTTTTGTGTTAGTTTTGTTAAGAAATAGTCAAATTCAGTGACACTTTTCATAGTTCAACTCTAGAGTGTTTTTAATGTTTATAATAGAGTTCATATTAGGTGATATAGTTCATTTTCCATATATTTTCCATTTCGCTGTTATATATTCATAGTATTCATTATTTAAAAGAAAATGTTCATTCATACTTTGAAATATGATCAACATTCCTACATTTTTTTTTTCACTTTTTCATATACTTCTTGTTTTTTAATTGAGAATATTGTTACTCACTTGCCAAATCAAATTATATTTTAAATAAAACTTTATCTATTCCTTTTCAGACTTTACTCTCTGTTGATTTTTTTTGTAATTTATTTTTACTACCATTGACAAAGGTTAATTCTTACTTTAATTAATTTCTAAAACTTTTGTATATTGCTGCATAAGTAAGGGAAGATGACGATTGAAAAGTTAAATTCATCAAGCTTATAATAAAGCTTTGTTGTTAAGTTACCTGTACCACTAACGTCTTTTTCTAATAAGATATCCAAATATGAAACAGATATGTCAGACTCTGTGGTATCTTTATTTCAAGCTCACTAAGATGCATCGTGTCGACATTTGAATGGAAATAATTATTGTTAATTGATATATCTAATACATCGTCGATATATCTAAATGTTGAATTGAATGCTACAGCCAGTGTTTCTATCTTTTCATGTATAAGATTTTGAATAAATTCTACTTCATACAAAAAATACAAAATAGGATTGCTAATTAAGGAGCGCAATTGGTACCCATGGGAACTCCAACAGATTGTTGGATGACCTGGCCCCAAGACCATAAACTGAGAATAGACTTAAGTCAAAATTTTGATTTTTAATATCTTGAGTTTTCTTTAATGTATTTGCTCAATACTGTGCAATTTTATATAACGTTTAAATTTAAATATATGATGAAAATTTTGGTTCAATATCAAAATTATTTCAAAAGTTATATTGGTTTGAAATTTTGACTTAAGTTTGTTCTCAGTTTATGGTCTGGGGCCTGGTCTCGTCAATCAGAAACTAAAGCATCTTTCCAATATCAATTTCAGAGTACTTGTGTGTAAAATCAGAATGATTTTTAACAAAACAATTTTGCAAATGACCAATGACAAGGTAAGTAAATTAACGAGTTCCATCTTTAATGAAAAAGCAGCTGTCATTGATGTCAAAAAGCCTGGACTTTAATTTATCGTGGGGAATGGTTATATATAGAGTTGAAATGTCGTGATTTCAAATTTTCCAAAAGTTCCTTGGAATTTTCGTGTATCCTCATCTGATTTACGCGACTTCTCGAATGTATTGTTGCACAGTACTCCTGAAGCTACTCTTTCACTGCTGTTAATATTTTAGTGAGGAGTAAAGAAAGAGGCTTGGTAAACATTTACTGGAACCCGCTATGTATCTTTTTTTTTTGTGAGGGTTTTTATGAAGTTTCGGAATCCAATATAAATATTTTAATTAAAATTCAATTTTATTGTTGGGAATATAAAAAATCATATGCATATGATTTTAGATATTTACCTGAGCTGGTGTTTTTCCATACTCTTTTGCTATTTCTACTATGAGTGGATCTTCGAGGGGAACGGGATCGTTCGCTTTTATTCTTAAAGAAAAATCAATTAGTTTAAAACACGAAAGGCATAAAAAAATTATTTGTTCACACCTCATTACTATCATCTATAGCTAGAGTGTTCCAAAGAACGCATATAGCTTCATTAAAGATGTAAAAAAAAATCTAAGTGTGGTCAATTATTTATATGCTACTAGCATTATAGTTATGCCTGCAAAGAAAAATAATATCCACATGATAAGACTGCGATATAATCTGACAATCAAAAGAGCTATAGTTTCCCAGCCCTCAAAAATTAAAAATAAAGAAATTATCATAAATAATTATTTTATCATTGTATACGTATTAATACGTGTTTTTAACAATCCTTCAAGCGAGGTTTCAGTCTGTATTTACTGCAATAGTCAGTCTGCAGGAGGATTAAACGTATGCTCAACTAGGACCTCAGGTCACCCGCAAAAAGTTCGTCATTTTGCGTAGTAATAAAACACTATATGAACTCTTCAGGCATTAAAGGCACAAAAGTAAATTCATCTGTATCAATATGGTGACCTCAGGTCACCCTTTATTTTGATTGAATTTTATTTAAAAAACAGTTTTCTCTGTCTTACTCCAATACAATTATATTAATAACTTTATATAGATCTTTCTAATAGATTAACAGAGATGTGAAGGTATGGTTTTAAACATTACAACAAGTTGATGTCATAATTAAGGCTCGGTGTCGGACGCCCCCTCCCCTCCTTTCACAAATGTTTCACTGGTCAACTTTATCAAACAATACATGTATTATTATCAGCAGTTTGAGAACCAATGTCTTTGTTACTGTGTTAAAATTTACACACAGGGAAATTGAGACTTTTTCTTCATTCGTTCACTCATAGACCTAAAGTGTTCAATTTAGGTCAATGGTTCAGTATTATCATCAGTCATCTACGATACTTAACTCTGCTTAACTAAAAGACAACGAAAAAAAAAAAATAAAGGTAAAAAGAATGAAAATATTCCCTTCACTCTATAATTTATCCTATCTTACATTTGTTCCTATAGAAAAAGGAAAAAGGAAAATCCACAGACTTTAAAAACTTTAAATGAGAATAAAATAAAGTCCAAATTTAGTTTTAATATCCTGAATTTGTTTTCAAATTAACTGATTTTCAACTACAAATTCAAATAAAAAGGTTGAGATACCAAACAGAGATTGATCTCAAAAATCCTATCAACAAAGGAATTTGAAAACAGAGTATAAAACACAGATTCCTAAATTTTTGAGATAGGATCAGATGCATGGGAGGGATCATCCCTGGTCACATCAAATTTATTGTCACAAGCCTGCTTTGAGCAATATCTTGCATATGGAAAGATAAAATAATGTGTCATATCAATGCGGAGACCGGAGGTCATCAGGTATTGTATATTAATAAGGAGACAAGAGTGTGCAAAACAGTCACCAGATACCACCAATGTGGAGACTAGTGGTAAACTAATGTTTCACATCAAAACAGAGACTAGAGGTCACCTTATATTGTACATCAATAGGGAGACCAGAGATCACCTTCTATTGCACATCAAAACGGAGACCAAAGGCCACCTTATATCGTACATCAATAGAGAGACCAGAGGTCACCTTTTATAGTACATCAATAGGGAGACCAGTGGTAACCTTATATTATACATAATTAGGGAGACCAGAGGTCACCTTCTATTGAACATCAAAACGGAGACCAGAGGCCATCTTATATTGTACATCAATAGAGAGACCAGAGGTTACCTTTTATAGTACATCAATAGGGAGACCAGAGGTTACCTTCTATTGAACATCAAAACGGAGACCAGAGGCCATCTTATATTGTACATCAATACGGAAACAATAAGACACCTTATATTGTACATAATTAGGGAGACCAGAGGTTACCTTATAATGTACATCAATAGGGAGATCAAAGGACTCCTTATATTGTACATCAATAGGGAGACCAGTATTCAACTTATAGTTTACATTATTAGGGAGACCAGAGATCACCAATTATTGTATATCAATAGGGAGACCAGGGGTCACCTTATATTGTACATAATTAGGGAGACCAAAGATCACCTTATATTGTAAATGGTACATCAATAGGAAGACCAGAGGTCACCTTATATCATACATCAATAGGGAGACCAGAGGACACCTTATATTGTATAGAATTAGGGAGACCAGAGGTAACTTATTTTGTACATCAATAGGGAAACCAGAGGTAACTCATTTTGAACATCAATAGGGAGACCAGTGGTCACCTTATATTTTACAGAATTAGGGAGACCACGGATCACCTTCTATTGTATATCAATAGGGAAACCAGAGGTCACCTTATGTTGTATATCAATAGGATGACCAGAGGTCACTTATTTTGTACATCAATATAGAGACCATAGGACACCTTATATTGAAATTAATAGGAAGACCAAAGGTTACCTTATTTTGTTCATCAATTGGAAGACCAGAGGTCATCGTATATTGTACATAATAAGGGAGACCAGAGGACACCCTATATTGTACATAATGAGAGAGACCACAGGTCACCTTATATTGTACATCAATAGGGAGACAAGAGGTCACCTTATATTGTATATTGTACATCAAGAGGGAGACAAGAGGTCACCTTATTATATACATCAATAGGGCGACTAAAGTTCACCTTATATTGTACATCAATAGGGAGACAAGAGATCACTTATTTTGTACATCAATAGGGAGACTAGAGGTCACCTTATATTGTACATAGATACGGAGACAAGAGGACACCTTATATTGTAAGGAATTAGGGAGACCAGAGGTAACTTATTTTGTACATCGATAGAGAGACTAGAGGTCACCTTATATTGTACCTAAATACGGAGACCAGAGGACACCTTATATTGTAAAGAATTAGGGAGACCAGAGGTAACTTATTTTGTACATCGATAGGGAGACCAGAGATCACCTTATATTGTACACAATTAGGGAGTCCGGAGGTCACCTTATATTGTACATTAATAGGGAGACCAGAGGACACTGTATATTGTACATAATTAGGGAGACCAGAGGTAACTAATTTTGTACATCAATAGGGAGACCAGAGGTCACCTTATAATTGTACATAATAAGGGGGACCAGAGGTCACCTTATATTGTACATCAATAGGGAGACCAGAGAACACTGTATATTGTACATAATTAGGGAGACCAGAGGTCAACTTATATTGCACATCATTGGGAGACCAGTGGACACCTTATTCTGTACATAATTAGGGAGACCAGAAATCACCTAATATTGTATATTGTACATGAATAGGGAGACCAGAGATTACTTTATATTGAACATCTTGTTTCCCTATTAATGTACTTTATAAGTTGATCTCTGGTCTCCATAATGATATCTTTCAGTTGATGCAATACGGAAGAGCATGTTCTACGTATGAACAATTTTTAAAACGAGGTAAGTTATTGACAAAGAAGTTGATGAAACAAGAATATCAGTAGTCTCGTTTAAAGTTATCATTTCCTAAGTTCTATGGTCGATACAATGACCTTGTTGGCAATTAAGTCAAATGATGACTGCCTTTTTTCAAACTGATTGTTAGCCCATTATTCACACACTGAGTTGTCCTCGGATTTTTCCGTTTTTTCCCAAACATGATAAGGAGCACACGGCGGGTGTGACCGGTCGGAATGGGATGCTCACTCTTCCATGGCGCCTGATCCCACCTTTGATATTTAGGAAGTCCGTGTTTGCTCCACTCCTATTTTGTAATGTTTAATGGACTTTTGAGCTCGAATACTGTTCGTTATCTCCAAATATTTCATAATCTTTATTTGTGTTATGATATAAAAGAACTGTTGCAATCTTTGTTTATGTGAGATATGAGAAATTATGGAGTGAAAGAAGTGTTTTTTTCTTCACATGATTAAATGTTCAGAAGCTTATTTCCATAATTATTGCCTTTATTTTGTTTTTGAGTTGTCTTTTAGTTAAACAGAGTCTAGTATCGTAGAAGCCTCATCTCTGCATCCATATAAACTTTTTGTGATATCTGGTCTCCCTATAACACTGTAATGTACAATATATGGAGACATCTGGTCTCCGTATTCATTCAAAACTTTACGTGACCTCTGCATTGTCTCCCTAATTATGTTTTATATAAGAGGACCTCTGGTCTTGGCATTTGAATAAAATCTATATGACCTCTTGTCTCTCTAATGATCAACATAAGGTAACCTTTGGTCTCCACAATGAAGTACAACATAAGCCTACTGATATACAACATAAGGTGACCTCTGATCTCCCTAGTGATGTACAATATTAGGTGACCCCTGGTCTCCCTAGGATATAAGGGGATCTCTGCTCTCCCTAATGATGTCGGATATAAGGGGACCTTTGGTGTTCCTATTGATGTACAATATAAGGTGACCTCTGCTCTCCCTATTGATGTACAAAAATAAGTTACCTCTGGTCCCCCTTATTATGTACAATATAAAGTATCCTCTGGTCTCCCTATCGATGTACAAAATAAGTTACCTCTGGTCTCCCTAATTCTTTACAATATAAGGTGTCCTCTGATCTCCGTATTTATGTTCAATATAAGGTGACCTCTAGTCTCCCTATTGATGTACAAAATAAGTGTCCTCTTGTCTCCCTATCGATGTACAATATAAGGTGACCTCTGGTCTCCCTATCGATGTACAATATAAGGGGACCTCTGGTCACCCTAATGAAGTACACCATGAGGGGACCTCTGGTCTCCGTATTCATATTATACACAACCTTATGTGAGCAGTGGTCTGCAAATGATGAACAATATAGGGTGTCCTCTGGTCTTCATATTCATACACAACTTTATGTGTCCTCTGGTCTCTTAAATAATGTACAACATAAGATGCGATCTGGTCTCCGTATTAATAAACACTTTTATATGAAATATGGTCACCCCAATGATTAATAAAATAAGAGGACACCAGGTCTCCGTATTCATGTATAATATAATGTAACTTCTGGTTTCTCTACTTAGGTGACCTCTGGTCTCCCTAATGATGTTAAATATAAGGTATCCTTTGGTCTCTCTACTGATGTAGGATATAAGGGGATCTTTGGTCTCCCTATTGATGTACAGTATAAGAGATCTCTGGTCTCCCTTTTGATGTACAATATAAGGTGTCTTCTGGTCTCCCTATGGATGTAGGATATAAGGGGACATCTGGGCTCCCTGTTGATGTATGATATAGGAGACCTCTGGTCTCCCTTTTGATGTAATATATAAAGTGTCCTTTAGGTCTCCTTACTGATGTAGGATATAAGGGGACCTTTGGTCTCCCTGTTGATGCACAAATGATCCCTGGTTTCCCTATTGATATACAATACAAGGTGTCATCTGGTCTCCCTAAAGGTATGACCTCAAAAGGGAAACCAAAGGACACCTAATATAATTTATTACCAAATAATTATTCCATTATCTTTAAGGATCAGTGAAGAGTCCGAGCGGGGTGGGGGGCAAGACCTACAATGTACCTCCTCCCCCTGCATGTTAGATCTGCGAATGCAGAGACAGGAGGTCGCCTACCCTGATATATTAATAAGATCAGAGGTTAGGTACTGTGTTAAATAGATACTGTTGCCTTACATGGAACAATAATATCATTAGGGAGACCACAGGTCACCCTACGTAATCCATTGCTGTATAACTTATATTTTATAATATATTGCAGTCAATGTTGCCCCCCCCCCCCGTATCTTTCCTCATATCAGATGATTATTCCTTTGACAAAAATAGATTTTCTGTTTGTTATTTTACACTGTAAAGGCTTCACAGTAGTGCGATTTATTCTATTTTCACTTTACGGTTGCAATGCACTACATTTTGTCGCAGAGTAAACAGGTTTGATAGTTGTGAACTGAGCCGGCGACCTAAGGTCCTAGTTGAGCGTACGTTTTATCCTTCTGCTAGTCAGTCTACGCGATCCATTTTCGGATACCAATCCCGATGTTTTTTCATAGAATTTGAATTTGGTTTGTGTGGTATCCGTATATCAGACAGTTTCAAAGTACAGCGACATGAGCTCATAAACATGTGTAAATGCTACATGTAGTTATCAAAACCCTCCCTTCAAAAATTACAAAGTCACGAGCTAAACTACACTGTCCGGAGTATATTTTGCAAAGTATGTCAAGGAGTCAAGAGCAGGTGGACTGTAACGTTCGTTTCAAGTATTTCATGACAAATAGTGCACATGCTAAATAACATAATCTTATCTCTTAAATGCCAAAAATATGATGTATGTCTGCAATATGAGCTATTTTGAAAAGAAGGTCAAAGGTCAAGTTCAAGGGTCACGAGATCGCTAACCATGGTATATTACAAAAACCATAATAACGAACAATACATGTGCAAAATAACAAATCCAAACCTCTTACAGTTCTTGAGATATGATTAAGGTCTGATAAATGAACAGGAAGACAGAAAGACATAAAGACGTAAAATGATCCCTAAGTGTCGCTCTGCTCTGTATGCGAAACAAAAACCCTTTATCCGATATAGTACATATATAGGCACTTTTGTAATTAATAAAATGAGAAAATAAGTTACATGAATATGAATTTATGTGAATTAAAATAAATTTTAACAAGATTCATATCTACTTGTGGAAAAATCTTGTTGCTTTTCGAATGTTATTCTAGAAAACCCTTGCAATCCTCCTGGGAAAATAATAAACACACTTAAGATTGACATACTTTATACTCAAAGATGTACAGGAAATCAATTGACAAACATGGGTAAGATAATCCACATGCCAATTTTGCTTGTATTGATTAAATGACTTATTGTTGTTTAACGTCCCGTTCAAGAATTTTTCACTTGTACAGGGACGTCGCCTGCTTTAGGTAAAGTGCAACAAATTTTGATCAATGCATGGCGCTTACGGCAATGAGAGATCTTTATCATGCGAACGCAGTGACACGGGACTTCGGTTGTTATTTTTTCACACGAAAGACCCGTGACTTTCACTTGTAGTTCTTGGCGCTCTGCAAAAGAACAATTACTGTCTATGTTAAACATCTTAGTTTTGACGCGGCGCCGAGAAGGAGAATATAACCCAAGACTTCCTGATCATTAAGTAAGCGCCCTACCGCTAGGCTACCGCGACCGGTGTGCTTAAATTGAAATACTTGCATACAACACCATCAATAGACGACACACGATAAATTACCCCACAATATAGTATTTATAGTATAGTACAATTTTCCTTTGTTGGCTTTAGTCATTAATTGTTCTTACAATAAACTGTAATATGTAAGTAAGCTTCTTCCAAATAGAGCAGAATTATAAACAGTCAAAAAAGTAGATAACATGCCTTAAATACAAATAAAAAATGGAAAATATGTGTCCATGATACTTAATGTTTAACATACAATCCCTCCATCCGTTTAGGACTTCCTAACGGGGAATAAGCTGTTAGAACAACACCAAGCTTTTTGCAACATTCGTACAATTTCTTTTGTTGGAAATAAATGTGGCATTCAACCTAGAAAAAAACAGAGTTTGACAAAAATATAGACCTTGGCTAAATTGCATTAAATTAAATTGCCACAAGTTAATAAAATTCAAACATATTTTCCGTTACCTGGTTCACAACAGGTTTGTGTTTAGCGAAACTACAGATTCTTTCTACTTGGGACAACAAGAAGTTAGATACGCCAATAGATTTGGTCAATCCCAGGTCGACCAAATGTTCCATTGCCTTGAAAATTACGGAACCCCTTGGTTAATTTCAAAATGTTATATTAATTTTTTTCTATGGATTAGAAATCAAAATTAAATCTAGGGGATCCAAAATTGAGTGTGTATATTACATTCACCTTCCAGGTCGCTATTAGATCTGATTTCGGATCTGCTTTTAAACATCCATTTTCATCCTGCGGGAAAAGGTTATTGTCATCTCCGTCATACTGAAACATAAAAAAAATTATAAAAAGAGTGATATTCAATAAAAAGAATGCATGGACACACTTGCATTATCGTTTTCTTAACAATTTTAAATTCGCATGTTCTTTTTTTTTTTTTTTTTGAAAAGATAACTTGAGATAAATGATTTGAACCTACATGGAAATTCTTAATATACAATAACAACAATATTCTTCTTAACCTTATATCAAATATCATCATCACGATCGCGAGCTCTGCCATTTTTTTTAATACGTTTTCTCGGGTATATATATATATATATATATATATATATATATATATATATATATATATATATATATATATATATATATATATATATATATATATATATATATATATATATATATGATCTTTTAACAATATACATCTCGCTTTTTAAAAAATATTAACGATAATCTTAGTTTGTATATAAGGGTGTATGTCAAACAAACACGCTTTCCGTTTTTTTTTATTGTGAAATAAAAAAAAGTTTCCAGTCATGCTTTTATACCACATCGATCTCAAACGCTCTTGCAACATGTTAAGATATGAAATTTTACGGAAAGTTTTGAAGGATATGAACATTAAAACTGTATCCCCTTTAAATTAAAGCAAAGAATACTTTCTTTCTACAAAAGAACCACTTACATGATTTTAAGTATGCAGTTTCTATAATGTGTAACATATCAAAGTGGTTTCTTTGATGAAAGTACAGTAGCCATTATAGTGAAATCTCAATTTTTGTTCAAGGATTATTTTGTGTATAGAATTTTTTATCCAAATAACATATTTTGGACAATAAATAAAACCTCAGATCGTCGAATATCCAAAAAGCCGGACCACATCTCGTTGTCTGGCACGGATCATCATATCAAACTCAACGCTCATCGTCTCGTTTGATCTGCTGGCAACTCAAAGTGATCTGGCTCTTCAGATCAAGTTACAGTATATAATGTACAATCCTTATTATTTATCTTTATTTCTTTATCTTTATATTTATTAATAACTGTAAACATACGACGCAATTAAAATTCAAAGTAGATACTGAACACTCCTAGAAGGTGGTGGCAAATTTTGCAGTGAATAAACATGATAATCGACAAAGTTATGAAAAAAAGTAGAATAAGCAAGTTTACTACCACAAGCTGACAAGGTAAGTGGACAAGATATAGGTCAACGTATGACAACTTTAGGTTCTTAAGACTCATCTCTAATGACCTTTTCACCAGTGACGGATCCATATGAGTAGGAGGAAGCTAAAAATAAAATTTAAAAAAACCCAACACTTTTCGGGGTTAATTTAGACGATGTAAGAAATGTATAAGAAATGTCCAGAAGAAATGATTTGCAATTGAAAAATCCTTCAATATAAGATAACAAAAGAAGCAATAAATACATATTCAGATTAGCTAGATGATTATCTTGTACAAAAATAAATGACACTTCCTATGTTAGAATTAGTTTAATAGAAATGTCAAACAATAGCATAATTTTAGAAATTCAAGACAAATGTTCCGAAAGAATGAAAACATGTACCTTTGTAACAATAAAGAGATCTTCTCTTTTGACTTTCCCACGTTTCATATAGTCCTGCAGAATCTCTCCGATAGCATCTTCATTTTGATACATGAAAGCCGTGTCAATGTGGCGGTATCCTACATCTAATGCTGCATGAACAGCAGTTTGTACCTCGTCTTTGGAACACTGCAAAAATACATTCATTGTTATGCCATGTAGTTGTCTACGGGTTTTTTTTTTGTTTGTCCGATTATGACAACGAGTACAGGGCGGATGTGACCGGTCGACAGGGAATGCTTACTCCTTCGTAGCAATTTATCCCACCTCTGATTTTTTTAGAGGTCCATGCATACACGTATGTTTGTTCTGCTCCCAATTTATTGTTAAAATGGACTTTTGAGCTATATTACTGTTGGTTATCCTCATATTTATATTTCATTCAAGAAATTTAAGGTTATGTTAAAAAATAATAAATAGATGGAAAAAAAATTAAAGACTCAACATTAAAAAGAAAATCGTAGACAACACTCTCTAACATAAAAGACTTCTTATGAAGATGATTCGGAGTCTTTCCGATTTATTTTCTCTTCAGTTTTGCTCTACGTATGTTTTCGAATTGGTGCTATTAAATGTTTCATGTATGCGGATATGTAATTCTTTAAACAAATATTTTAGACAGAGAGTTGGAAATATTAGCATCTATTTGTGTATACAAAATAGATGCCTTTATTTTACGAGAAAAGTATATTTGCAGGGACCTATATACTAGTATATAGGTCCCTTGTACGTTGTCTTTTAAGAGTCGGGCTTGGATGACACAGCAAGTGTTGTCTATATAAAGGGTCGGGTTTGTTCTTCACATTCCTTTCTGCTGATCCTTTCAAAGGTAAAGATGCATAACAAATGCTTGCAAAAAATACATCTAATTTCTGCTTTGTAATTTTAAAAAATCGTATAATTTTCCATTTATATATTGTTTTGCAACCATTTTAAAGCTTTTATTACTGTTGATGTTTATTAAATAAGGCGGATGATGTTGGATTCAAAATTTTTACGAAGCAGACGACGCACACGCGGTTATGCCAAAAAATAATTAATTTACCTTTGTATTGTTATTAAATGATCAAATATTGGTTATCAACATTAATTATTGTCTTTTTGTTTCATACTGCGTCGAAATCGGAAAATGCAAACCCAGAATAGCGGAACAACAATATGGAAACTCGGTCGGACCTTTTTTGTGGACACTGTGAGGATGGGCCCAAACATACGTCAAAGAAAAGAATAGCAAATAATCTGTGAACAAGTTGGAAAACCAGACATTGAATATATGTATCATCACAATCCAATATATCAGGTACATCCACCACTTTTGAAATACATAAATAAGTTGAATGTGTAGACTCGTTTAATCATTGCCATTGTAGAATGAGACCAAAATATAAGCAATAGTCTGCTTATATAGTGTATAGATATTGCTTCTAAAAAAATCTTGCTTAAAGTGTTACCTTTCAAGCTTAGACTGTAGAATTTATTTCTTTTTTCTAAAGGAAGGGGGGGGGGGGGGTTACAAAGGAAAAACTATTAAGTTTCAAACAAAAGTACCAGAAAGTCAAGCTGAAAACAAAATATATTTAAATATAACTACCAGTAAATCCTACAAAAATATGTCATAATAAAATAATCTTTCAAAAATACATTCAAATCATATTATAATTTTACCATAGAATTCTCTCAAAATGAGGACAAAAGACTTGCAGTTGCCTGGAATTGTTCACAACTAAGGTCAAAATAATTCAATAGATTGCATACATGTTATTGATAGTTGCAAATTGTACAGCAGCCTCAACTTTGCCATATGTCCGGTTATATTAGTAGAATGTTCTGGACCTATTATACATTTATATTAGGTTTCTATAAAATTTGTGAGAGGATTAAATTTAGTTTTTATATAAATTCAGGTAATATGTAATATAACAGATGCAATGTTCTGTGTAATTGTAAAAGTAGAACTTGATGAATTTTTCAAATCCAACTATTAGGCACTACTTAAACAGGGTTCAGACTAAACAATGATTTGTTTGGAGAAACAATTAATTTATGAAAGCATCAGAACCAAAGAAAGCCCTAAAATTCTTGTTTCATGAAAGAATTTGTAATTAAAGTTAGAGCACTAGATTATTAAAAAAAAGAAAAAAAAAAGAAAATCTGTAAGCAAACCTCCTTATTATATCTCTAGTATGTAATGAATTTAAATAAAAGGGAGAATGAAACCACCTATCTTGCCCAGAGAAGAGTATTGTTATATTTATTCAAATGCTCTAGAGTTTTCTTGGAGTTCAGTGCCTTGTATTCATGAAATTTTAGACTAATGTTGTGAAAATGAGACACTGATATATAGGTAAGTCATAAAATCAGTTGCATATCATAAGTTATTACAGATTTACACTGGAGTTTAGCTTCCAACTCAATATATATGACTTGAAACAAGGGGATCTTAATTGTGTGGGGTCTGGGAGCAGTAAACCTCTAGAAAGGGCCTTTCTCAAGTCTCGTATCTTTAGGTGCTCTCGTTGAGGATTCTATTTGCTAGCTACTAAAATTGGAAATGAAATGATCTTATAATACAAAAAGGGGGGATTTATCATTGTTTAACCACATAACTTATTTGATTAAGTTTGAATGAAACGGAAAATGCAAACTATTTTTATATAAAACATCCATTTTCTATTACTGGAATTAGGATATCTTTGTTATGAGTGCAATTTATGAAAGGTTGGAAATTGCAACATCTTGTACAAGAATGTTTTGTGATCACTTATTAATGAATACATGTATATCTTAATGACCAATTATTAAATCAAAAAAGTAAATACAGTCAAACCTCATTGTCTTGAACTTATGGGACAAGATATAACTTGCAAATGAGATGTCGGATATTTGAGATGTCAAGGGTAGAATGCTTGAGGAGTAGGTGTCGATCTGAAGTAACCATGTTATTTAAGATATCAGTGTTCCAAATACCAAAGTTAAAATTACAATTACTTCTGTAAAGCAATTAAAACTTATAGAACATTCATCAGATTGTATGTTGCAAAATGAATATATGGTCTTATCTGAAATATATATTTAGTTGTCTTTAGACATCAGAAGTGACCCAAAGAAAGACTTTGTCAAGTACATGTACCTTAAATTCTTAATAATATAGCAATTATTTCTTAGAAGAGTCCTAGAAGGATGCTTAAATTTTGTAATTTTACACAGATAATAATGATTTTTTGACTTCGGGCATTGAGCTTACATTTTAAGGTATTTGGATCTGAAAACTCCTAGCAGGGTGCTTATATTTTGTAATTTTGTACATGTATATAATGCTGATTCTAAGACTTCAGGATGTGCATTTGGTTTACATTTTTAATGAGTTTGGTTTTGTTTTTAATCAGAACACCAGAAAAATATTATTTCCTTTTTGGATCAAGTCCATATTGATAGCAGTACTAGTTATATTCAGGTTCATTGCATATGAAAATATATATCCAATTGGTGTCATTAATAATCAAACATCTATACCTAAAAGAATTTTATACTTTGCTACGCATTTTGTACTACACTGGAACAATATGGTCATGCAGAGCTGTATAGAGTTCTGATGCACATACCTGTGTCACAGGCATTAATAATGTTTATTGAAAGACTCTTTATCAGAGGTAAAGGAATTAACACATAAATATGATTAGTTGAGTATACTAGTATTGCAAGCATCTGTAATAAAATTGCAGCCTAAGCACAGGTTCAAATTGGCACCGTCAAAGTGCCAGATATCTTCATTGCAGCTAAGCTGGTTATTGGTAAGTATAAATTTGAATAAACTTGTTACATGTATCAGGTAATGTATCTTTTTCTAGGAATATCATTTAGATCAGTATATGTTTTCAAAATATCAATGTTATTATAATTGACAGTTCTACAACCATTGGTGACCATCACTAAGTAGTGTGATATATTCTTATAAATATGTAATCCACATTTGGGTTGGGAATCTCCCAAGAAACTACATATTTGGGTATCAGTAGGAATATAGTAAGATTCAACCTTGTATTACAACCATGTATATAAAACTTGCCTAGGCTAATGGACAATTCAAAACAAAATTAACAAGCAGTGGTAAACTTTTTGTAAATGCATTGCAAGGTGGCATATACATTTGTGAAGCAGGGTAGTAGAGACGTTTCTTTCTACAAGCCCAAAGCTTTATTAGTCATTGAGGGAATAGGTGAGATACATCACATTATATATATGATATCATATCACAATATCAAGTCTTGTTTAAAGTCATCATTTTGTAAGTTCTATGGTCGATACAATGACCTTGTCAGCAAATAAAATCTATCACTAAGTCAAATGCTGACTGATGTTTTTCATACTTCCTGGTAGTTGTTAGACCATTATTTACACATTGGATTGTCGACGGATTTTTCCGTTATTTCCCGGTTATGACAAGAAGCAAACGGCGGGTGTGACCGGTCGGCAGAGGATGTTCACTCCTCCATGGCACCTGATCCAACCTCTATGTCTTAGAGGTCTGTGCACATGTTTGCTCTGCTCCACATATTTCATTGGCACGTTTTGATTACTTAATGTGTTATAGCACCTCTCTGAATAGAGGGAAATTCAAAATTTCTTCCAAGTGTGCTGAAGGATTAACACATCCATACATCAAGATGTGTGTGAGTATCCAGCGGGTAGGGGGGTCTTGGGCAGTATTGGTCGTGGAACAGTTGACTTGTTTTGCTTCCCCCAATGTGTGGGGTGACTGCAATCTGTGCCAGCTTGCAGCCATGTGGCGTCTGCGCACACCAAGTCAACTGATAACTGAATATTTGTGTGAAACTTGTACTGAACTGTCTCCTTGTTGATATGCTAATGCTAGTGTAAACTAAGCTAATAAGCTTACTCTTGGTGACAGTGATATATACTTTAGAGCTGTAATATATAGTACAAGTTTGAAATATGAAAAAGTTTGATATTTGAAGTTTGAGATGTTTGATCTATGAAGTTTGAGATATTTGATACATTATGTACAAGATTTGATATATGAAGTTGATATGCTTGATATTTGAAGTTTGAGATATGACTTTGATTTTGAACAGTTTGTATGTTGATTTTGAACAGTTTGTATGTGTGCTGACCCTCCGCGGTGAACCCGGGACGGTTAGACTTTGAAACACACATGACGTTTGAATTTGGTGGGATTGCCCAGTTGAAATGGCATCCCACAATGTTTGTATTTTCTTGTGCCACGGCCAATACTCGCCAAAATAAATAAGTATAAATTCTATATTGAGTTTTGTGTCATTTTCTCTGTATAAATAAATAGCTTTAGAAAAAAGAAATTGTTAAAATAAAGTAATTTTAAGAAAATTTTCTTCCAGATGCGAGATGCTAATTTATTTTATCCTTTCTGATATTCCAAGCAAAGTTTTTGCCATGTTGATGAGCAGATATATATATAATTTCTCAGTGATGAGGATTGGTGCCGAGTATAATTAGGTAAAAATTTTTTAGCTCACCACCGGCAAGTGTTGGCGTCTCCATATGAGTGAAAAATTCTCGAGAGGGACGTTAACCAATAAACAAACAAACAAAACTTACTAACTCCAATATATGACATCATACAAGCAAGATGCAACAAAAATATGTTGAAATGTGACTCATTTATGTTAACATGCAAGATATTTATGTCAACATACGACTTATTTTTGTTTACATGCAACATAATTATGTACATGTAGACATGCGACTTATTTATGTCAACATGCAAGATAATTATGCAAACATGCAGCTTATTTATTTCAATATGCGACTTACTTTTGTCAACATGCATGTAAATTATTTATGTTAACATGCGAGTTATTTATATCAACATTCGAGTTATATTTTAACATGCAACGCATGTTGGCATAATTAACTTGCATGTTAAAATAATTATATTGAATGTTGAAATAAATAATATGCATGTCTACATAATTGTCTTGCATGTTGACACAAACAAGTCGCATGTCTACATAATCATCTCGCATGTTAACATACATTAGTCGATGTCTAAATAATTATCTTGCATGTTATCATAAATAAGTCGCATGTCAACATAATTTGATTGCATCTTGCTTGTATGATGTCATAATCTATAATGTCGTTAGTACGTAAGTTAACAAACATTAAAATGAGATTCTCTAAAGAGATTGGTGACTTGCATGTCAACACAATTATTTTGCATGTTGACATAAATAAGTCGCATGTCTACATAATTATTTTGCATGTTTACATAAATTATGTTGCATTTAGGGGGCAGAAATATGCCACCATACAATCCATTTCCTAGCATTGTTATTAATTTACACTTAAGTGAACACAAAGCATGTAAATGTATACGTATGCAGTATCATCCTAAGATTAGGATAATCATTTCTATCTTCGTGGAAACAGTGTATGTTCTATTCCTTTTTAATCTTACTTAAATTCACTGCAGAGTCTAATAAAATTAAAATTTAATATCTTACCATACATGTAAGCATACAAAAAAAGAAAGGTTATTAAATAACATACTGCAACATGTTGACCAATGCCTACACCATATCTGCTTCTAGAATTATACGAGTCCAATTCATACAATGTTAGCAGAAGCAAAAGAAAAAAATGAAATAATTAGTAAGCTTACAATGAATGATTCCTTTGTTTGGAATCTACGCAAACAAAGATTTTACTATTTCTATATCCCAAACATAAGAATAAATTTAAATATTTGCAAAAAATTCACCTTTCCACATGTTATGTACACACCCCTTTCACGTAGTAATATATCATATATTCGATAATAACTACAAACCTGCCATGTTCCTAATCCAACAACTGGAATGTTTTCACCATTATTCAACTTAATAGACGTTTTAGGAACTTCCATTTGATCTTTGTTGGAATTTCTCTTCGTTAGGATTTAATTCAAACAACCATATGCCCAATTACATCTATAGCTGTCATATTGTGCATCGACATGATAATTAAGATAAACCGCCAGATAAAATAAAAACTAGGCCAGTTCGTGCATACAATATCCTCCTGCGAAAACACTTGATGTCAAACTAAAAAAACGCTTCTTTTGTTTACTTAGTGCATTATACGACACTCAACCAATCTTTATCAAAGTTATTTACAATGAGTATCTTTTGGTTTTGTAATGCAAATAAAAATCATCTAATGTGATAAATCCTTTTAACCTTAAGCATTTCGTATAGCCTAAATAATGAGATTATTGAATTTTATGTCAGCAAAGAATACAGAATACTAATGCCAGATTTTATAATCTTCGCGATTATCAGTGATGACGAAGTGCATAACTTTTTTCCCTACCTTATTTTCAATATTTGGTGAAATGCTAATTTATAGCAGATACAAACACTTGATTTAAAACAAAATATATCTAATTGTCATGTAAAATTTTGGCTTACATTTAATCTATTGATCGACTCTCTGTTACCTTGTCTAATTACAAATCAAGGATAGATGCTGAATCCTAGAATTTGAAATTTCAACGGAAAAAATTCAAACTTTGTTCGATCAAGATCAAGATAGTGTTATCAATCATCATATAATGTAATCGTCATTATTTAATATATCAAGAAGCTACCATTATAAATGAAATAAAATTTTCCAACTTAATGAAAATACTTCAAAGATATAAATTTTGAGAAAGGTAAAATGGCAAGATATTAAAAATTACACAAAAAAGTTTCTTAATCTATCTTATATCAGTGATGATGAAGTACTGTACGTTCTGTTTCGGTTTTCTTTAATCTTATTTGTAAAACAGATCAATTCTAGTTAAAGACGGAATTTTTATGGACAGCTTGATAATCGATAATTAACTTGTTCTGACTCAGCGTCGTAAGTTAAAACTCCTTATAATTATCTTTTTTCTTCTTCCAGTTTTACGGTTTGTACTTTGGTTAGTTGTTAGTCTGATAATCAGGAATTAATAAGATATTGAATTAAAGTTAGAGAAATGTTTTGTGATTAGATTTAAGACCTTGAATTAAGTCCTTGACATATATTTTGGTCATAACAGGATTGAAAGTTTTAACTTAATAGAATCAACTCCATTGCGTTTTTTCAAGTAACCTTGACTAGAGATATGAGTCAAATCATGACTCTTTAGTTCTCATCAAAACAAAATACTCAGATTTAATACATTACAGTCATGTAATCTACTTCTATAGCAGGACACAGTTCAGTCTCATTGCCCATAAAATTTCACATTGGCCATAAAATTTAGGATCCTGTACAACAATATACTAATTTTGAATCTAATTGCGAAAAGTGTGTCTGTGAAAGAATACAGGTCAAAGGTAAGCTTTTGTGAGTTGTAAGTACAAGAATTTCATTTCACTCTTCTAAAAGATTTCTAAAAATTCATTAAGATAGACTATTTTAAAAAGAGTAATAATACGGTATATCTTCAAGACAATGTTGTTCTAATGGACACAATGTACAATTTCATTAAACTTGGCTTAAATTCGCCTTGGGTAAACTTAGAAAAAAAAATTGAAAGTTTTCCTCAAGCACCCAAAACTTTCTTAAAAGAATATGTAAAGCAACTTTAGTTTATGGGTAACCTATTTGTTAATGTTTAAAGTTTATCAAAGGGTTACGAAGAGTGGATTAGTGTTACCAACCTAAACGCGTGTTTAAATTAGTTAAGTCATCGCTCAGCAGTAAGCATTACAGTTATTTTCATCGCAGCACAGTTAAGGCTGCAATAAGGAGGCGGGGCCTAATTTTTACGGTAAATGCTTACTATGACATCACACAAAAATATATGTTCTTCAAATTACCACAAAACGAAATGATTTGCTACTTTAAACTGTTGGATAGCTTTAAACTACATCAATACTTACTATTGCATGTATTTTTGCTGTTGGTTAAATCCCACACAGCAATATATAAACAATTCACCGATCGCAATGCACTTGTCAATGTGACGTCATATCGCAAAATTTGACGCAGTTTGTATGCAGTGAGAGGCGGATCAAGTTATATTTTATACAATGAAAAATGTATTTTGTAATTAAATAAAACATATTTGCAGATATATAAGAGGCTATTAACTTGGATACGATGTCTATTTTATGATTTTATTCATATACTTCCAGTACATTTACTAGACAAGCGATACTGCAGTATATTTGTATGCAGATTCATTGACGGGTGATAGAAGGGTCATAATAGATCGATATATTGCAAGGGCATACCCTCAATGAATTATGACAAGCTTTTACACATAAACTTAAGAGGTATGAAGGTAATTGAAAAGTGCTGCGAACCTGATGAAATCTTGCAAATGAATTAATTATATCTATATTTAATGTACTTGACCAGCAAAATATTCAACATACGGTCTAACAAACGTAATTTGAGCAATTATGTAGTAGAATCTATATAAGTTCGCAGCACTTTTCACAAACTACAAAGAGTGTTGAAAATAATTATAGATTAAACTTAGATTTTTAACGTGGTTATGCCCTTGCAATATTGGAATTTATAGATGACCTCAATACTTCAGGTATATTTGCTAAAATCACGTGACTGCCACATTACGTCACAAGTCTAGATAAGAAATCTAATCGTCCCCAACATGTAGTTTTCAACCACATTACATCTGTCCGATAAAAGTAAAGTCCTAAAAAGAATCGCCCATCCTTGTAAAGAATGTATTTTCTATATAAAAAATTCGCCGATATTTCCATTTGTCACCTTAACTGTACTGCGATGTTTCTTATCCTCTCAAATCCAGCTTATCACCGCAAAGAATATTTGGGAATAAGCATTCTCACCAGCGAGGATCACACCAGAAACTTTCGTTTAGTTGGTCCTTTTTTCCGCCAACATCTCTCTGGTAGCTTTATATGCTATATATTGGTATAAGTCTTCAGCTGTTTAGACTTTTAAAAAAGATGACAATCTAGTCTGAAATTCACGAAAATGTTACTAGTCTAAAATCACATTACTAAACTCGTAAGTTCAGTACAGCCTTTTAGAAAAGGTTACACGAAATAAGAGCTTATTTTTATAATGATATATTTCACTAAAGAATCGAGGATTTGCTTAATTATGCCCCTAACTGCCAGTTTTCATTTTCTGCAAGTCGAAAGTCCCTTTTGTATCCTTTTTACTATGAATCAAATAACTTTCCAAAGGTGGCAAGCATTTCTTCCCGTTTTTGTTTTAAAAATTGCTACTGAAATTTCATTCATGTGCATATCACATTCTGATTTATGTAAATTTTATATGTAATATGGTGTGGTGTGTGAACATTTGCACTCACTAAGAACACAAATCATAAATGTGAAATCACTAATTTTCATAGGGAGGAGGGGGTAATTTTCATTGTTCCGTGGTATGAAGAGACTCATGAATTCATGTCCTCCGCGAACTGTAAAATTTAAGTGATTAAGAAAGCTGGACTTCTTTAACCACGAAATCAATTCCCTTTTAACCAATATTTTTTTCTTCAACCTCGAGATTTTAAGCCCTAAAATATGTGATTTTACGTAGTTTGTAGACTTCTTGGACTTCTTTAATGTGTGGATTCCTTGGGGTCTACTCCACTGAGAAGTGGTTAGAAAAATGCGAATTTGACAATTTAAAAATATAGGACGGATTCCATTATAATAAGAACAATATTGAGGGTATGTTAAAGCTACACTCAGATATTCTACTTGCCTATATAATATGACGTCATAGTAAGCTGTATGACGTGATCTTTAGAGATATCGATTTCTTAGTATCTTTATTCAAAGTTTTATTTCAGGCCCAAGAAATGAATGGAAAAATGTAAAATATAATATAAACTAAATTTTGTCATTTTTGGATGGTATGAATAGCGAAGTAATTGTTAATTGTCATGGGGGGGGGGTACCGAACTCATGACGTCACACGTGTTGATCAAATATTTCCAGAGTGAAAATGAAACTAGCGAGAATTCGTATAAACAAATATATGATATAGGAGTTTAAAAGTTTATTCTGTGAATATCACGTGTGATTCATAAGGAATTAAAGACTGAGAATCAGGTACGCTGATTTATTCTTATCATTTTTTTCTTATAATGAAGAAGTGTTCTGAGATCCCGATCAGTCTTTCCTCTGTCGTTCGTAACAATAAAGATGCAAAAGGTCAACACTACGTCGCATACTTTGAAACTTAATGTGTGTTTATATCGAAAGCTTGTATTCTATAGTACCTGGAAAATGCTGTTAGAATCATGTGATTAACATGAATTGATAAAAATTCCTCGATCGTATGTACAAAATGTACAAGTTTTGGTAAGGTTTCAAGCTAGACTTTGGAATAATTTTTTCTGTGAAAGGATAGTAAGATTCTAGCAGCACTTTTCGTGACCCAGTGATGCTTTTACGTATTTTTTTTTACAAAGAGAAATGAATTATTCCTGGGATAGTGTTGAACTTTTCACTTATTCATTAAAGCATTTTTATATTTATAGACGTCACTTGATGACGTCGTTGTGGAGTGCTTCTTTTAGCCTAAGATTAAATGACGTCTAAACAATGGATAATATTAGTAAATATTTTATCCATGGCTTTTCCGATTTATCAACGTTACAATTTACAAAAAAGTGTAAATTCGCCGATTAATGATCTATATGCTGCCTTAATACCTGAGATATGATTAATTTCTCAAATGGCCCCTCAAAATGATTGTCTTAATTTGACTTTATATATAGCTGTACTGTGCACAGCCATACTCGTGTGAAGTTTATCCGTGATTCAAACCTTGATCAAAATGCCATTAATTTAGAACTATGACATCATAAACCTTTTCCCGCCATTTAACATTTTTTTTGCTAAAATTGCTTATTTTCAGGCAGTTTTTCTTCAAGAAAATATTGAACGCAGACTTGAACAAACTTATGTTTTCACCAAAGATGTATCTATCCACGACT